AATTTGTGCCCCTAAAGCCTGTCCTGGAATCAACACATTATCTGATTGTCCCCCATCCAGAAGGGTTTCCTGGATGTCAGAGGCAGGTTGCCCTGGGAGATTTCATGATGAATGAGAGCAGAACCTGGGACACATGCAGATCCCAGCTCTGTCTCAATCAGGATGGCAGCTGAGTATTCAGAAGCCGATCCGTGAGCACCATTTACTGGACACCTGCTATGTCCCGGGCTCAGGTGTCAGATACACATCGTTAGACGATGGAAGCTGGGACGACCACCCGGGCCTGCCTGTGTCCTCTGCTCAGGTATCCCAGCTGGGAACCCCACACCCCCGGGCCCCTCACAGCCCAGTCAGAGCCCATGCCCTGGCCCTCAGGCAGAGGAAGAGGACCGCGGGCCCAGGGAGGGATCAGAGAGCCGGGGGATCATTTGCATGACTGGCCCCTCCGTCTCTCAGATTATGAAGAATGGGAGAGACCGGGGGACATGGCTCAGCTGTGAGGACACAGAAAACAAGAGTCAGTGACCATCCCCACCATGGCCTGGTCCGCTCTCATCCTCACCCTGCTGGCTCACTGCACAGGTGACTGGATGAGCGATAGGGGAAGGGGCCCTGGGAGGACGCCTGGGCTCTTGGTCCTCCTCTGTGTCTGGGCCCCAGAATCAGCATCTCTGTCTCTCCCACTTGCAGGGTCCTGGGCACAGTCTGTACTGACTCAGCCGCCCTCTGTGTCTGGATTACAGGGCCAGAAGGTCACCATCTCCTGCACTGGAAGCAGCAGCAATATTGGGGGTGGTAATGGTGTTCAGTGGTAACAACAGCTCCCAGGGATGGCCCCCAAACTCCTCATCTATGAGAACAGCAATAGGTCCTCGGGGGTCCCAGACCACTTCTCTGGCTCCAAGTCTGGCAGCTCAGCTTCCCTGAGCATCACTGGGCTCCAGGCTGAGGACTAGGCTGACTGTTACTGTGGATGTTATGACAACAGCGTCGGTGCTCGCACAGTGCTTCCGGCCAGCAGGAAAGTGAGACAAAACCTGCTGTCCCTCAGCCCTCTCTGCTCAGCCAACACAGCTGTGTCCTGTCTTTGTTTATTCTGAAATGTGGGTCTTTAAACAACACTACAGGACTTTGTCTAAGGCATGTGTCCTGACTTCTCAAATTTTGCCCGTAAACCCAGTCCTTGTCACAGAAACTTATCTGCTTTTGTCAAAGTGAACAGGACTTCCTGGATACCCTGGGCAGCTGTGCTGGGAACTGAGTCCACTTTGGGTCAGAATCAGGGACATGAAGTCCAGATGTGCCTGATTAGGAAGGACTGTATGGAGGTCCATCCATCCACACCCTTGAGTGAGCACCTACCAGGTGCCTGGTAGGCTCCAGCAGTTGGAGGATGTAGGGAAGCCTGTGTCTTCGTCAATACATCACACATGACTGAGGAGGAAGAGGTGGGCTTGGCAGGTGGACATGGGAGCCATTGGACAGGGTATGGGGAAGGAACAGAAGGTGATGATGTGTGAGTTCTGCACAGAAGATGAGGGAGGAGGAGATTAGAGTGAATGAGGGACCCCGTGGGGGTGTGGATAGGACACAATGGTCAGACTGTAGTGTTGGGGATGATGGGGGAGAAGGTGAGGGCAAGGCGCACAGTCAGCTGCCATGCATTTCTGATGTAGGAGTAAGTATAGAATCAGGTCATGAAAGAGTGGAACTGAAGTGGGGTTTAGGAAGCTATTGGGGCGGGCCTGAGCTGCAGTCAGCTGAGATGCCGTG